ATAGAATCTGAATGTATATTGTTGCTCCCGAACATTATATATCGGACTAGTTCATCTGTAACACTACCGCGCTGAGTGGATGACTTTACAGTATAACAGTATAGTTGTTGTGTATCGTGGTAGAATGGATTATCTGAGACCGCTAATTCGCCTGGTGTCGGTCCACTGCCGGGTTTGGCGTGTCACCACCCACTAGACACAGCGTAGGGAAATACATGCATCAGTAGAACTGCATGTGACATAAAAGCTTGGTATTGATTATCAACTGCAGTGCAGCCATGCCCGAACTCTTGCAGTGTAAGTCGCCGATCCAACACGCTAGGCAGTAGATTTATTCCTGGGGAATATTGACCAATTTATTTTATCTCCTTTACCAATGGCACTATGTCAACATTGAATATATCTACAGACATATTTTCGGGATGATTCAAGGAAGCGACAATGGATCCTGCTCCGTCTAAATGATGACTGACAATAGTTATCTTCGATCCTCCTCTTACAAAGGTTTCCAAGGGTTAAATCCCGCGGATCGATGCGTGACGTCATCGGGCAATTACTTAGAGTTGTTATTTCGCGCAGGTGTTTGTGTGACAAGACACATAACAACCTGTCAAGGATGACAGCGTACAATAAACAACCATTTTTTATCGGAATCATCGTTGTCATGGTTACAAGAATGAGGATGAGTCCGGGTATGTTTAACCGTGGTTGTGACTTATACATCAAATTGCAAGACCTGAGGACATGCAGGAGTGTCGTCTACACCCTTTTTTAGTTTTTACAAATATTTCTTTCCTCACAATTCTTGCACCCCGTATTAATACTCATGTAATGCCTCACACCAGATACCCAATGGCTATGTTACTGACTGTGTGTTCATCCACTAAACGGTACATATGTACTCAGGAGCGGTGGAGTAGGTTAGTGGTTAAAGAGTTCGCTCGCTTACCAGAAAGTCCAGGTTCGATTCCCCATATGGGAACAATGTCTGAAGCCCATTTCGTGTCCGCAGCTTTGACATTCCTGGCATATTGCTAAAGCTGCTATAAACCAAACACACTCACATGTATACTCAGAGTTCGAATCCCAGAATCTCCCTGATAATGCCTCTTGACTTGTCGGTGCAATTCTTCCCCTCATGTTACAAGTGGTAAACGTCCTGGACATGCATCACTTAGGTCGATTGCCTTATGTCGACACATCATTATATAACCGAAATACTGATCAAACAGGCGACAAACCTCTCACTCAGCAACCTCTGATGCTGAGAGGGGCGGTGGAGTAGTCGTAGTAGTAGTAGTAGTAGTAGTAGTAGTAGTAGTAGTAGTAGTAGCAGTAGTAGTAGTAGTAGTAGTGATTGTGGTATTAGTTTGTGCAGAAACGGGGCGGTGGGGTAGCCTAGTGTTTAAAGCGTTCGCTCGTCACGCTGAAGACCCGGGTTCGATTTACCATAAGGGTACAATGTGTGAAGCCCATTTCTGGTTACCGCCCCCCCCCCCGTGATATTACTGGAATATTGCTAAAAGTGGCGTAACACTAAACTCACTCACTCACTCTGATGTAGACTAATGCTTAGTCTCTGAATATATATAATTTTGACAGTAACAAACAAGCCCATTTAAATTGAAAAGGAGCCCCAGGGAGACCAGAGATTCAGAACCTGAGGAATTCTAGACTTGCTTTATTTAAGGCTTTAGCACTGCAGATAGGGCTTAGCAGTAGAGAAAATAATGTGGTTCAGGGACTGTGAGACAGACTAACGCTGATGCTGAGACTGATAATCTCTCTAAACGACCAATTCTTGGGGGACTCAAGACATCCAATTTCATTATTGTAGCAAACTATTTCGCAGTGAAGCATACCAAGAATAAACACTCGGTAACATTTTAATGATGCCATTGCATGTGGGTATATTTAAAATAACGATGTGTTTAACTACTGACTAAAACGTTAAACAAAAGTATAGGACAAAACCCTTAGTATTCAATCCAAATTCACTAAATATTTTATGTTCAAGAATCAATTTGACATTTCAGATCAAAGACATTTTACCAGTGAAAAACTAATATCGTTAATATAACATGTGAAACCTACTCACCCATAATACTTTAATTGGCATGCTTGTGTAGATATGTTTGTTTAAAGGTAATATTTAATGTTTGTGTTGTGGTATTCTCACATGTTTAAGAAACGGGCCGGTCTTGTTATATGTTTCTGTTAATTGAGTGGTCGAAGAAACCTAAGCTTTGTCCTTACACAGGAAGAAGGACGTCATCGAGCGGTACCAAAAGGCTTTAAGAACAAAACTAACACGTGATAACAATGGCATTTCTGCACACAACACCGGTGTTATAACTACTATATGTGACTTAACAAGGAAGGCCAAAAATAGCGCGGAAAGGAAAGATTCGGTTTGTGATAAAGCAGCGCTGGGAATTACCGCTCGATGACTACCTTTATTTATTCTGGGTCCTCGATCCAGTGTGGATTCAATTAGATCCTAGACTCAGGCTATAGAAATCTTCACCAACTTGAAAACATATTGAAAACATTGTTAGTTTGGTTGGTTTGTTTTTTTGTTGTTGTTTTTTTTCAGTAATCCGATGTATCAAACGACTTCGGTTGAGTCGAATCAGACATTTCTGTATTCTATCATGAGAAACATCGTCGAGGTACTATGACACGCAGTCAAAACACATACACACGCACGCACGCACGCACGCACACACAAATCATTTAAGACTGGGCATCAATTCTACATCTGAATCCTCACTACGATACATTTACATAAGCGAGTAAAGTTGTAGTGAACAAGTGACAGACCCGCTAATACCATGTAAATAACCTTGGGATCTAGTGCAATTCATTTACTATACAACCAAAACCAACATAAATACGCACAACAAAATCAGCGTTTGAAGAGTCACCAGGTACAAACAACCTTTAAGATGTAAGGTTTCTGTTACAGTAACATATACCCTATTTTGAAGACCAAGATTCAGTACTTAGCTTTCACTTAAATAGACAGGTCAAAAGTCACATAAAAGTCCATGTTTCACAGACTGACATCCCCCGCCCCCATCCTTCTGGTGTGAGGGATTTAAGGGTCATTTCAGTGGAAACTCTGGACTCAGCATTTTGCAAATAAAATCGTATTGGTGGACAATTTCTTCTCATTTGAAAATCATTATACTTCCTGAACAATGTCATATATATCATGCATTTGGCAGCCTCAAAGGGCCGACACAATGGGCTAACAGTGAGCTCCCTACACGAGTTGAACGTGCTTGTACATATCCTCTAAGGCTGTTGACGTGCTGGAGATCTGCGCGTTGTCATGGTTGGCAATCAATACAAAGACCTTCGTTCTCAAGTACCGGGGCACACATCAAGAGAGGATTTCCCTTATGACATGTCTGGTGAGGCGGTAATGTGACAGGTACCTGCATACACACACTTCACCTGTCGCGAGCTCTGACGTCAGGAACCCACTCAGCAGTTGATTCGTATTAATTGCTTCTGGGTCCGCGGATATGGTCGTGACTTTTCATGTGTCTTGAATGATCTCATTTTCATACAGAAGTGAGTTATTCTACATAATGTTCCTGTTTTCCTAATATTAGCGACCGACAATATTTTTAAGGGTTTCATATGAAGATTGAAAGGTGTGTGTTTTTCAATTATTTTTATTTCGAGTACTTCCTTGTATTGTTTTCTTGTGTTTTGTGGGTTGTTTGTCTTTAGGTTTTTGCTTTTATTTTGTTTATGTTTCTTGGGGCTTTGTTTGTTTGTTTAAGGTGAAGAAGTGGGGTCTATGGTTTTGGGTTTGTTTTTTTGTGTGTGACTTTTTTAGTGAGTTTAACACGCTTCGAAATATGTTTCAATATGACTACGGCATGTCAGGTTGATGTGGTAGGCACGTCGGAAGTGAGGCAGGTCCAAGATGCTGTGGTTTCTGGCCATTTGACACTGTCTTGGTCTGCAGTATTGCTAACCTCACACACTACCTAGGTCTGTAGGACTTGAAACCTCACACACTACCTAGGTCTGTAGGACTTGAAACCTCAGACACTACCTAGGTCTGCAAGATTTCTAACCTCAGACAATGCCTAGGTCTGCAAAATTTGTAACCTCAGACACCGCCTAGGTCTGCAAGATTAGGTACCTCAGACACTGCCTAGGTCTGCAAGATTTGTAACCTCAGACACTGCCTAGGTCTGCATGATTTGGTACCTCAGACACTGCCTAGGTCTGCAAGATATGGTACCTCAGACACTGCCTAGGTCTGCAAAATTTGTAACCTTAGACATTGCCTAGGTCTGCAAGATTTGGTACCTCAGACATTGCCTAGGTCTACAAGATTTGGTACATCGGACATTGCCTAGGTCTGCAAGATTTGGTACCTCAGACACTGCCTAGGTCTGCAAGATTTGGTACCTCAGACACTGCCTAGGTCTGCAAGATTTGGTACCTCAGACACTACCTAGGTCTGCAAGATTTGGTACCTCAGACACTGCCTAGGTCTGCAAGATTTGGTACCTCAGACACTGCCTAGGTCTGCAAGATTTGGTACCTCAGACATTGCCTAGGTCTGCAAGATTTGGTACCTCAGACACTACCTAGGTCTGCAAGATTTGGTACCTCAGACACTGCCTAGTTCTGCAAGATTTGGTACCTCAGACACTGCCTAGGTCTGCAAGGTTTGGTACCTCAGACACTGCCTAATTCTGCAAGATTTCTCACCCCTTACGCCCCGTCACGTACATTCTCTGTGACATTTGCCATCATTCTACATCTGCTGGCATTCTATAGCAACATATGGCATCAAACAGCAAACCATCAACCGACATCATCCTTCTCCCTAACGTCGTTACGATACAGCCAGCGCACCATGCAGTTTTCCTTAGGTATATTCTATTCATTCAGGAAGGAACAACTACATACTACTACTGGGAGGAGAGGGAGTAATGGTGGTGTTGGTGTAACGTTGCGCTACTTACATGCCGTCCATGGCGAGGCAGTCGTCCAGCAGCTGCATGGCTCTCATCATCCTGTCATCCTGCAACCGCCTCCTCTTGTTCTCCAGGTTCTCCTTCTGTCTCTCCCGCTCGTTCTCCATGTGGGTCTCTGTCTGCTCCAGGTCCGTCAACATGGCGCGGGCTTCGTGCATGTGTTTCTGTAAGCAGGAACAAGTCGGTACATAGTACTACATAGACTGCCCTATGCAAAACATACATGGGTGAGTGAGTGAGTTAGTGAGTGAGTGAGTTTAGTTTTACGCCGCTTTTAGCAATATTCCAGCAATATAAGGGCGGGGGACACCAGAAATGGGCTTCACACATTGTACCCATGTGGGCATCAAACCTGGGTCTTCGATGTGACAAGCGAACACTTTAACCACTAGGCTACCCGCCATTCCACACATACATGGAGTCAGCGTGTTATATGGATATTTTATAGAGATTCAATGAGAACATTGTACGCCTTGATAAGCTGACCATTATTGCCTGAAACGTGCATTTAATAAAATAAATAAAAATGTAAATTCGGAAATACGATAATCTAAACATATTAAAGGGGCGTTACTGCATACACTACAAGGAGCTGGGGTTTACAAGTTACGAGTTCGGGTTTCGCTGTACAAGGTCAAGGTCTTGCTCACCTGTTGTTCCTCGTCCGTAACAGGCCTGGCCGGAGATACCGATCTGATTCCATTTGGTGACACAGCTCTTCTCCCCATGCCGCCCATACCGCCCATCCCTCGCATTCCCCCCATGCCCACCATGCCGCCTGGGTGGGGAGATAGCGAGTCCATAGAGCTGGGGGACACATCCCCGGACTCGATCTGTCTCCTCCTCTCCATCCTCCTCCTGCGTTCCTCGTCATGCTGTTCCTCGTCCACGATCATCATCTCCGAAGGAGCTCGACTAGCTCGAGATGCTCGACTCATCCGACTGCGCCGATTCCTGCTACCATTCCGGCTTTCAGCTGAAAAGGATCGCGTTGTGTAAAACTATGTTTTTGGTTTGTTTGTTGTTTAACGCTATATGATGGAGTGATCGAGCGAATACTGCTTAACGCCGCATCCAGCAATATTCCAGCTATAGGCCGCATCCAGCAATCTTCCAGCTATATGATGGAGTGATCGAGCGAATACTGCTTAACGCCGCATCTGCAGTTATGCAAATATTCGCGACAAACAACATGATGGTTGTTTGTCAGTATGTGATTATTATTAACGGTCTCTCTTTTTATCAGGACCATCGTCGTCATCTTTGCTATTAACGATCTGTCTGCCTGTCTTTCTGTCATCATCATCATCATCACTATGAACAATCTGTCTTTTTTCTTGTATCAACGTCATCATTACTATTAACGATCTGTCTTTCTATTTCATCATCATCATCATTACTATTAACAATCTGTCTTTCTGTCTTGTATCATCGTCATCATAACTATTAACAATCTGTCTTTCTTTCTTGTATCATCGTCATCGTTACTATTAACGATCTGTCTTTCTTTCTTGTATCATCGTCATCATTACTATTAACAATCTGTCTTTCTTTCTTGTATCATCGTCATTATTACTATTAACAATCTGTCTTTCTTTCTTGTATCATCGTCATTATTACTATTAACAATCTGTCTTTCTTGTATCATCGTCACTAACTTAACAATCTGTCTTTCTTTCTTGTATCATCGTCATTATTACTATTAACAATCTGTCTTTCTTTCTTGTATCATCGTCATCATTACTATTAACAATCTGTCTTTCTTTCTTGTATCATCGTCATCATTACTATTAACAATCTGTCTTTCTTTCTTGTATCTTCATCATCATTACTATTAACGATCTGTCTTTCTTTCTTGTATCATCGTCATCATTACTATTAACGATCTGTCTTTCTTTCTTGTATCATCGTCATCATTACTATTAACGACCTGTCTTTCTTTCTTGTATCATCGTCATTATTACTATTAACTATCTGTCTTTATTTATGTTTCATCATCGTCATCGTCATCATTACTAAATTGATCAATTAGCTTTATTTTTTTTCGTCATCGTCATCATTATTATAACGTTAATCTATATTCACCATGTGCTCTTGATTCCGCTCTGAGTGCTGCAATGTCCATCTTGAACTGTTCAAACTCATCATTGATGTCAGCCCGGCACTCGGACAGCTGTGATGCCATCTCCCTGGAACTCTGCAGAGATTCCTCGATCATCTTCTCCAGGAAGATGCCCTGAAGGTTGAGAATGAAGACACATCAATGTATGTCATGATAGATAAAGAGATTTCATGCCATTGGCTAACCTAGTTAGCTTTTACTTGCATGTTCCCATAAACCAAAACTAAAGTAGGAAAAGGTTTACTGTTGTTTGTTTCCTGGTTGGTTGAGAAATATGATGTTAGCCTCAACACTGAATTACACAAAGTGCACAATCCGGTCATTTACGTTTATATATCTATAAAGGCAAAATATATTAACATCTGTTGGGGCTCGAGGGGTATCCCTAGGTCATCTTCCAGAGCAGCATATTCATGGATGTCTGCGGTGTCTCCTACAGAAGAGGTGCATCTTTTAATTTGCTTATATATTCTGATGTATTTATATTGTGTGTAGTTAGTTTGTTATTCGTGGCACTCGATCACGTTTCTGTACTTTAAGGCAGACCTAAAGATATATAAAGAGAGACGATTTCGCACAATATTTCTTGTAACGGTACTTTTCTATCCCTGTAAGCAATGCCATTCGTCCTCTTGTCCGTGAGGATAAGGGACCGTTCATAATTTATGGCTAGGGGGGATGATGATTTTTGGGGAGTAGCATGTACAATGTGAATGACCCCCCCCCAAAAAAAAATAATAATAATAAATAAATAAATAAATAAAAATAATAATTTATGTACAAAATAAGTGACCCCCTGCATGTCATGTACAAAATGAATGACCCCCTCCCTACCCATAATTTCTAAGCATAATTTTAAACATATTTTATGAACAAAATTGCTGACAACACCCACCCCCACCCCTGTTCGTGTGTACAAAATTGCTGACCCCCTAGCTCGCCAGAACAAAATGGATGTCCCCTCCTTAAAATCATTATCACCCCCCGTAGCCATAAATTATGAACGGTCCCTAAATTGAAAGGTATGCCTTATATGAACTCTGTCAGAGCCACACATCATGTGATCTTCTGTGATTTCAGAACACACCTGCGCTACAACGCAGGAGTTATAAACATGTGGTAGACAGCCTTCAGTTCCAGACATTTCATATTCAGAGTGAGTGAGTGAGTTAAAATTTAACGGCACATCGGCAATATTTCAGCCATATCGTGACGATTCATATTCAGAACAACCGGAAGTGTTGGAAACGTTCTCCTCATGTAAGTCGTGAATGACAGTGTTTTCATTTCACACAGAAATGTACTGGATAGACCGTCAGCCCGGAAAGTTGAATGTCAGTGGTTTAATCCCATTGGTAGTGTGATAGCAAGAGACATTATAACATATTGCTTTAAAATTCTTGCCTTGTCTGGAGTAGGAGAATGCTTGTATAATGTGCCGGAGTGAGGTATGACAACCTCATTTCACATAACCTTTTTACTACAACCGAATTATCTCTAGACGGGTGGTGGGGTAGCCTAGTGGTTAAAGCGTTCGCTCGTCACGCCGAAGCCCCGGGTTCAATTTCCCACATGGGTACAATGTGTGAAGCCCATTTCTGGTGTCCCCCGTCGTGATATTGCTGGAATATTGCTAAAAGCGGCGTAAAACCCAACTCACTCACTATTATCTCTAGACACCGTTATAGACGACGATTGGGCCATGGTTTCTAGTTAATCATGTTACTGTATATAGAGAGATTTCACAAAACGAAGGTTTTGCATTCGGTTAGTCTGTCATAAAGACCCTGAGATAACTATATCTGAAACAGCCAATGAAAGTCTGGATTGTGTGGCAAGTCCAACCTATCGCAGTTTCATGGGCATATGAAATTGAAGAAAGCCTTTGGTCTCTAGTTTATCATTGTTTATTGACACAAGTTAAGAAGTGTTTTTTCTGTAAAAGGTTAGGTGTTAGTGTAACACCAGTTCAGTGAGTGGTACTCTTCCATTTATACAAAATGACATGCACACTTATACTTCGAGAATGGTAAAATCGATCCATATTCTCAGTCAGTATTAAATTCGTGTATTCACCCACTGATAATGATTATAATATATTCATGAACTTTATCACCATCTTACCATCCGCACTTTTTAGAGAGATATTGTTTCCATGTCGAACCGACAAAACAGCTTTTTATTTGGCTGAGAAGAAGAGTGTTATACATTGTACACAAGAGACGCCAGGTAATGTTTGGTTGCATTTTCCAGTTGTACAACTCAATATAACACAATCATCATTGGCGTTCTGTCCCATCACTCAACTACTCAAGCAGCCCTAATCACACAAGAAAACTCGCGCAAATATTCCAATCGATCACAACAATAAAACTAAGCCACTTGTAAAGTTTAGTGTTTATATGTTTCCAAGACAACATGATGCAGAGGAGTTAGAGCTTGGTAAATATCGTTTTATAGGAGCAGCACGCCTGGGTATTTCAACAGCTCTAGCTCCATTAAGCATACTCCATCTGTGAGTGTTTGTAGAATCTGTTGAGTTCCAGGAACGGACAATACCTTACAACACTCGAACATGAAATCTGTCTTAAATGTGACAGCCACAAGACTAGTCGCTCACAATCACTATTACATATTAAAATAACGGGGTCAGATTGTACTTTTACCTGGAAAGGAATTTGAAAGCACCTTGTAATAATAATAATGTTTCCTTTGAATATCATCCAAACGTATTAATGTCTCGACTGTTTGGGACTATATGTCTGAGAGCAGATGTTGGTTCACGTAGCCTTTATCAATATTGAAGCAGTAGGTACCCTCTAAAGCAATTTAAAAACGCCCTTCTATTTTGAATGATATCCCTTACTAAACAAAATTATTTCGTCCACTCTACTTAAATTTGGAACATTTATCCACAAATTCCTATTATAAGGAGGCCTTTCGCATGACATTAAGAAAGCGGAAGAACTCGTCGGTTATGTATTCTCCTTCAACAGGCGACGAACTTCACTACCTTTTGCATCGTGAATATTACACGTCCTGAAGAAAACGATCTATTCCCTATTCAAACATATATCACGATTTATTTCGAGCGTGCTTAACCAGGGCCTCGTTCCATAAAGCGATCGTAGCGATATGATGATCGTAACTCCCATACTCTAACATAGACTTACGACTGTCGTAGCGCTATGATGATCGTAACTCCCATACTTTAACATAGACTTACGACTGTCGTAGCGCTACGATCGCTTTGGGGAACGGGGACCAGGTCAACATCCTGCCATTGTGATGGGTATATTTTTTACCAAAAGAACAATTTTCATGGTAATTCGTATGAATGTTGTTTCTGTGGAATAGCAGCTACACCAATGACATCTATATCTACATCGTCAACTTCATATTTTGAATGCTGAGTGGACTATCCGATCTAAATTGACACGTACAATTTACATACACACCAACACCCACATCTATGTCCACAACAACATCCACGCCGCCGACCACATCAACGGCACCACACACACACACACACACACACACACACACACACTCCGCAACCCTTGACGACGCCAACGTCTGCACCCAAAGCCGCGCCCATATCAGCATCCACATCCACATCCTCATCTACATCTGCAACGGAGTGCAATAATAACACAAGATCACGTTCAACTCGAGACGCTGTATGTTGTTTGTGTGTTACACTTGAACGGCTGTCCGCCCTTCTTAGCGGAGATCAACGGGTGCACAGTTTCGACTCAGTCACCTTGCCACAGTTATAGGACATGGAGGGATCAAGCAGGTGAGGCTATGGGTTGATTTCTGTGGCATTGGTGCGTTCGGAAACTGATAGTTTGTTCAATAACACATTTTCTTATTCTTGTTATTTAATTAAAGAAACGGTCAAGGGTTTGAACACTTTGGTAATAGTGTTTGTTTATTGTTTATTGTTTTTTTACACCGTTCTCAACACTTTTCCAGCAAGTGACGTCTATAAACAATCGAGTCTGGGCCAGACAATCCAGTGATTGACATCATGTGCAGCGGCCTAGGTAATTGGGGTACAATGACATGTGTCAACCACCCGATCCTGTTAGTTGCCTTTTACGACAAGCGTGGGTTACTGAAAACCAGTTCTAACCCGGATCTTCACAGCGAGTGTGTACGACGAATAGTTGTCATGTTCAACATATTGAAACGTTATCCCACGTCGTTAAAAAAATGTCGCAAGCGTGATTGTCAACACATGAAGGTAATTGTTAAATATATAATGTCTACAACAACATACTCCAGTCCACTTGTAATTCATGAGTACGTTTTAATTCTAAGTAGGTCGTTATTTCACAATTTCGTTATTTCTTCAGCAGCCAAAGCAGAAATCTTCAGAAGAAAAATTGTATCACCACAATATTGCCATTCATTTAAGAAATAATGAAATTGCAGATTTCACCGGACAAAACGCAAACTCATTGATCTGTGACATAAATGCGATTCAAATTTCATTACGACCTGAATGTCGTTGAAATCAATCAAGCCACGATAGATCAAACCAACAATATGTCAGCATCCGAATAAAACTGATCAGTCGACATCAATGCTGCTCTGATATATTGGTAATCAATGAATATGAATATATCATGACTACTATCTACAGGATAAAACATGAGATGGCTACATCCTCATTGAAATCAGTTGTGTAATCAGCCCACCTACTAGCCTTATCAGTCCACACATTGGTCTACCACTCGTTGATCTAACAAGTCCTCTTATAGGTCTTATCAGTCCACTCATTGGTCTAACAAGTCCACATACAAGCATAATCAGTCCACTCGTTGGTCTAACAAGTCCACTTATAGGTCTTATCAGTCCACACATTGGTCTACCACTCGTTGATCTAACAAGTCCACTTATAGGTCTTATCAGTCCACACATTGGTCTAACTAGTCCACTTACATTCCTAATCAGTCCAACATTGATCTAACAAGTCCACTTATAGGCCTAATCAGTCCACTCGTTGTTCTGACAAGTCCACTTATAGACCTAATCAGTCCACCTATTGATAGTACAAGTCCACTTATAGGCGTTATCAGTCCAGTCATAGGTCTAACAAGTCCACTTATAGGCGTTATCAGTCAACCCATTGGTCTAACAAGTCCACTTATAGGCGTTATCAGTCCACTCATTGGTCTAACAAGTCCACTTATAGGCCTAACCAGTCCACTCATTGGTCTAACAAGTCCACTTATAGGCCTAATCAGTCCACTCGTTGGTCTAACAAGTCCACTTATAGGCGTTATCAGTCAACTCATTGGTCTAACACTCACTGGTTAAACAGGTCCACTTATTGACCAATCAGTCCACTCGTTCGTTTAATCAGTCCGAACATAGTTTTAATCGGTCAGGTCAGTGGTTACTCAGTCCACACATTGGTTTAACAGTTCATCCACCGGTCGACAGCGCTGATGTTGTAGATGAAACAATGAAATGGTTATGATTGAACCGTAACAATTGCTTGTAATAAAACTCGCACGGTATTGCCTGTAGATAAGGTGTTGTGTTTCCCGTCTGTTGACATCGTATTGTTTATGTTTAATCAGAGCGGTGTAGGTCCAAATGGAGGTGGTTTAATTATCGGAATGCCTAAAGATTATAATAAAGAACTCAGTACTATATGCAAATTGATTGCATGGTCAAAAGGAACTGTCAACGGCGCACCACACCAACAGATGTATTATCTCGAAATGTACCAGTTATTGCCATTGATTTCTACTACCTCTGAGATGAAACAGATTGTGATAAATGAAGAGGGTTGTAGGGCTCTAGTTTCCTCCCACAGGTCTGGTGATGTAGGACTATTTGCAAAGCAGGTCTTTCAAGATTTACGAATTTGACAAGCAAGAGCTAAAAAGCGTGGTCATAAAACAAAATAATGTTTTCTAATTTGGTCGCCACGTCTCTTTCTTAGCAGTTTATGGCTGTGTTATTACCCTTGTTGAATATATTAAATAATTTCACAACATAAATACCGTAATAATTTTCCTGCTAAGCATATTAAAATGTTTGGAGGGGTATTCAGATGAGGCGTCTCCACACCCACTCGTATGAGCGAAAACAAACCACTGGTTGATTATATTCAGGGTGAATCGGGGATGTGATCGCGTGTTCGTCGGATCCTAATACCTAAAAGGGACGCTACTCTGTACAACAAATTACAATGCCTTTAACAACTTCAACAAACACAGAACTATATGTAGGTGATCTTTTTGTATATTCGTTTAACCCATCAACCATGATGAGAAATGAAATGTCCAATCGCCTGGCAAAACTATTCAGTAGTCACTGCAGTTGGCATCAGACATCTTCGAATACTGGGGTACGGGTAGTCTTGTCGGTCGTCAAAGGCGCTGAATGCCCTGCACAGAGTTGCGTCCCTTTGACACGGCAGAAACCGAGTTCGCTGCATTTCGTGTGTCTGTCAGCTCCCGACCACTGTTCAAGGGTTTCACCAAAGCGGTAAGTGTCTGCGACCTGCATCACTTCGGGCTTTGCCCCCACATTAAGCAGACACACCGTGATATGACTGGAATACATCGAAGTTAAACCAAGATCACCCACATCGATGTGGGCACTGTGGCATGTCACAGACGTGGGTGGAGAACAACAACCCAGTTATGCAATTGTGCGTCTGGTACTTCATTTGTTATGCAACATGGCCAGAGAAAGATCGTATGTTTATGTGGTGATAATGTTCCGTTCGGGCCACTTGATTAGGCAATTAGTTCTGTCATGAATTAGTTCTATTCAGTGAACGATGAAATAATTATTTGAGTAGGTGGCAGCATTCTCCCTTGAGTAGCATTACAGAATAAGGAGAACCATCCAGACGGTTGGGTTTACAGACTAGAAGAAACAGTACATAAAACGTTGTTTGTCCACATCAATACTCACGGTGGAGCATGCCCATCAACATCAAAGGATTTTCTTTCCTTTTTTCTGCTCTTTGTCTATTCTCTTTAAGTATTCTGTCTGTGCAAACCGAAGTTGAATAATTCGATTTAGGTGATAGGGATGTAAGGCGACTATCTTCAGATATACCTGTCACAGCTGACTGTATATGACGTCACTGATGACAATATCCCTAAGATCGGAGAAGGGCTAAGAGTGAGTGAGTGAGGCAGCTTTTAACAGTATGTCGATCATATCTACTAGTCAGTTTGAGATGGGCTGGGTGCACATAAAGCAAACATCGCTTAACCCTGCGCCTGTTGTTTCAGTTATTATAAACATCTACAAAACCGTATTTTGCCCAAGCTGTACTCCTTCATCGCCCCACTTGATGAAAGAATAATGAATATACTCAAAAACGTCGTGTGCTTCATTTAAACGTTGACATCCATTAATTTCCCTCCTTAAATATTTAGTTATTAGTCGATGGTTTTGTTTTGAATTGGTTTCCTTTAGCTGTATGTAAAGACGTCATTAGTTATATCTAGGTGGAATTGTGTTTACATTTCTACTTGTTTGCAAAAAGATGTAGTTGTAAATGCTACCAATCATTTCAAAAATTTCATCATTTCTGATCATGGAAACTTCTGTTCTCAGACATGTCTAACTGACTGCTATGCCAGCGGTTATTTCCTTTGTTCGGCTATTGTTCACAGTCAACCCATTCATGGTGGCTACGTTGGATGGTGATCTGAGATTGGTTCACCTCATCAGCTGAATCTAATGTGACAGTTTAATACAACTGCAGTGTCTGTTACTCCAGCCATCAAGTACATGGACTTGTACAGGATGGTGGCTTGACGACAACCTAAGCCCAAGGTACAAAACCTTTAAACATGTTATAAACAAAGTGGGTTAGTGGACAGTCGTTGCTGGGCTGACCAGTGGAAAGGTTCCGTGTACTCCGTCCATACTGGAAGATACCAATCAACGAAATGACAGGTGCGTGTTCAGCGTCAACTGTTCAGCTTTCGTTACCTTTGGTGTATTGACGGCAACTTGCAATTTAATTAATCACGAACTCAAAAGAAGTTAAAGGACTTCCGATTGTTTCAGATTAATCTGTCAAGGCTACGGCAGAATAATTACAGTCGTACTGAATACCGGGTTCTGTTTAACTTCTTTTGAACAATACACAAATGTGTCACTGTAGAGTAAGTGTTGTGTGGAATGGATGGCCCGGGTCGTGTTTGCAAAGCGATTTTAGTTCAGTTCATGTTAATGTATGGTAGTTACGGTAGTCATAGGACTAACATTGCTTTGTGATCACGATCCCATAATAAAACAACCGTAGGCCTACCAAGGGAACTAAAACACAGATTACCTTAAATTATAGGATAGAGCAGTTGTAGATCTAAAGTCGGTTTGTTGGGCCGGACCCTGGTCTAGGGTTTCCAATTTCCGGAGATATTTGTTACAAATCCTGTACTGATATTGGCCGAACAGTCATATCTTTTGCTGTTTGTCACTATTGCTATCAGGTTAACTAGCGCAAAGAAGTATTGTGGTCGAGCTACCAGATTTTATCTATAAATCTATACTTTCTCGACATGGTGCCAAAGCTAAAAACGTCTACCACAAAGAGATTACTGGATTCTTATGTCTAATTATAAAACTGATATCACATAAAGGAAGATAGCTCTGATAATGGATACATTAATATTTTCTAACGATTTTAAAAAGATGAAATCACTACCGATTTTTATACACGTATTGCCTTTTAGGATGATATCGATAAAACGTATCATCTATTGGTTCACTTAAAGTCGAGAATTAATGGATGTCAACTTGATTTTGAGGGACACGACGTTTCGGAGTATATTCTTACTACTTCACCAGGTGAATGATAGACACACTTTATTGGCTCACACTATATCCCTTTCCGTGGTAATAACAAAGAATGGTCGCATTGCTCTTCACTGTGTGTATGTGTATGGAGAGAAATACTGCCAGAAATAGTCATATACAATAAAACATAGACGCTAACAACTTCGTCAGTGACTGCAGATATCTTTGCTTCCTAGCGGATATCTATATAATCAAGAATGTAGCAAAAGAACCTGTTATTGGCCGATACAACATGAGATATAGCAATACAACATGAGATATAACAATACAACATGAGATATAGTAATACAACCTGACATGTCACAATATGACCGAACATAACATTACAAACTAACGGATACAACTTGACATATACCAATACACCCTGAAATATAACAATACAACCTAGCTTTTAACAATACAACCTAGAAAACTGCGAAATAACCGGACATACTAACTAGCTAATATAACTTGAGACAGCAAGACAACCTGACTTATAACAATACAACTGAATGTATCAATACAACCCTCCGGATACAACATAAACGATAGCAGTTCAATCTGACATTTAGCAATACAACCTTGCGGATACAACCTGACATGTAACAATACAACCTAGATTATACGTGTGAGACATACATGTATATGAGCCAAGGTTTAAGACGACAACGCCCTTTCTTTCATTGTTGATTTTATTTTCTGCTGAACGCTACCATCCATTCATATTGTTCCTTCTTTTGGGAGGGAAACGCGTTGTTCAAGTTCTTTAGCTGAAACTGTGTTCTAATCAAGATTTGTTATTGCTTAGGTATTTTACCTACATTATTCCCAACACCCCTCTGTGACACAATGTATATTTAAGGTGTTGTTATGAACGTCAACGAACCATCTCCCGGTAACCGGCGACTCTCTACCCAGAACAAACACATCAATCAATACATCCACACGACACAAAATGATCAGTGGTAAACACCTGCCGATGAAGTTGCATATTTGTAAGATATATTCCGACATATAACAAATATATCAACAAATAAACACGTCCATCTTGTACAAGGAGGGGAGGCAATGTCATCACGTGACTTACCCTCATTTCCTTGCTCAACATTTTGACTTTATCCTTGATCTTCTCATTCTGTAATATCTTTATCAAATCCATCTTGGCAATGTGTTTCTGAGATCCAATGTACAAAATCGCCTGTAAATTTCAAATCCGTTCAGTATCCAAAGAAGTTTCAAGTCCGATCTGCTCGTCTGTCGTCTGCCTCTGAGCTGTCCGTCTGCTCCGCCAAGTCGTCAACGTACCAAAGCGCTGTATGAAACGCACTGTCGCACTCCGAGTCTTTACAGGTGGGTAAACCGGTTTCTAATAACCATGTTTGTTAGCACTGAGTTGATGTAGTGAGCTACCCGACGATGCCAATTGATTTGGTAAACCGGTTTCAGTTCTTCGATCCACCCATCCGCTTCATTCTTGTGTCGTCTGGTTTGACGATCGACATGGGTTAATCGTGAGATTCTGTGGTGGTTTGTAGTATATTCTTATTGTGACACGTTGATCAATGTCCGGTATAATTTATTAATGTACTGGATTTGTGGCCCATTGCTTCTACTCTGCTACAGCTAGGGTGCTGCCATTGATGTGACAAGCCTGAACAAGGCACGGTGATACGACACATTAAGTGTCGGCAGACTCTCACAAGCGCTCAGCTCTCAGACATTCCGATCTTCTTTTATTTCAGGTTGGGGTAAACTAAACTGACGGTTATAGGAATAATAACAAAACATATTTTAAATATTTTAAGTATTTTAAATAGTGTCTAAAAAGAATGGTCGGTCAGTAGAGCCAAGAATGTGGTTTTTTTTACCATTTCGCTAAATTCTTTTCCACACTTTTTATGTAGTAAATCGAATTTCTTTTAGCTAATTCGTTGGATCCGTAACCCAGTAAATAAAGATTATGGATTAGCTATACAGAAGTAATAATAGATTGTCAAAGAAAATGCATGAAAAATATACTGTGGTTTTGACCCTTCTGGAATCAAAGGAATTTTAACCTACACAACAAAACATTGTTGAAACGTTTATTTAAAAACATTTAGGCTCTCAGTTTAAATCAAAAATACATTCGATTTTGCAACTAGCTGGTTAATTATGCAGAATCGTTTCTTTCCAGTCAATGTAAAGCACACTTATCGGGAGCAGTTGGACCGAATAACCTTCTGAGAGTCCCATGCATGAGAGCGAAGACATATGATGAAATGTTTATAAAGAAGAATAAGTGAACAATTCAGAAGGTTGTTCATTACATCTTCACATTCCTTGTCGGTTCACCCAGTGCAAATTGTCTCCCGATATGTATACAGACACAAGCAGAGTTGCATGGATACAGTGAGTGCGTCCGTGAGTGAGTGTTAACGCCGCTTTGACAGGTATTCAGGCTCGTGTCTTCCACAGGCCCTCGTGTCCTTGTGAGATTAAAGATTTAAAAAGAATATATAAAGATTTGAGATGACCCCCGACTCAATATATTTTTAATCTTTAATCCTCGCAAAGACACGAGGGCCTGTTGTGTCTTCGTGCGGTCTTTCCCTCACTATGGGAGAAACGCCGACAATATGTATGGCGCGAACAAAGCAGTGGTGAGCAACAGCATGAGCATCGTTGACAGGTGACAGGTATAAGTAGGCCTACTTATCTGGGATTCGAACCCACTCGATGGCCCGTTTCGGGAAGATGGGTAAGGTGAAGTGTACTGAACTGGTGCGGTAATACGTGCGTGGGTCTCCTTAGGAGTCAGGGCCAGGGGAGAACTGTGTCGTCTGTGAGGTGTCGAGTACATGTGTCACGTGAAGTATCGGATACCTGGTCGGGGACAACAGTCAAGTGATGAGTCAGGGTCATGGGTCACGTGACGAGTCGGGTCAAATTTGTAGTGGGGTACATGGCTACTACATGCGTCACGTGAAGTTTTGGGACCAGACAATCCAGTCATCAACAGCATGAGCATCGTTGAGTTACGATGACATGTGTCAATCAAGTCAGCAAGCCTTCCCGATGCCGTTAGTCTTCACGGGTGGCATGGGTCACGTGAAGTGTCGGCACATGTGTGAGGACACGAGTTGAGTGCATGTGTAGGACATGGCTGACTGACTGACTGAGTTTGGTTTTACGCCGTTTTTAGCAATATTCCAGCAACATCACGGCTGGGGACACCAGAAATGGGCTTCACACATTGTACCCATGTTGGGATTCGAACCCGGGTCTTCGGCGTGACGAGCCAACGTTTTAACCATTAGGCTACCCCACCGCCCCTTGTAGGACATGGAGCTGTGGAAGGAAAGTAGGGTGTTGGTCGTATACGTTTAGTAATACCACTTTGATAAACCCCATGAGCACGGGTATAGATCTGACAAACCCGATTCGAACCCACGATCATAGGTTTCTGGTGTGTCCAAGGGAAGCAACTCTGCACAGCGAACTACGACGCCATCTACGACTGTGGACTTTGTGGCTCCTTCAACCGACGAACTCTATGAAGTGAACGGTTTTAATTTAAGGCCAGCGTTCGGTATGCACACATATATCGACATTTGGTTGTTACACATTCTTGTACATTGTCAACAACAATGTCCACATCAGATTATGCAGCCTAACCTCGTGGGATCTTATCAAATCACTTAATAAGGTCAGCAATTCGCAGTGAACAGTAGCCTCTTTCATGAAATCCTTCATGTCCTTCGTTTTCATCTGATCCTCTATACTATCGCTAATAGCATAAATGAATATTTAACACAGTTCTTCAACGACCTTCCGAGAAGTTCCAACCAGTCAGAATGTTTAATGCCTACTTGTATGAACATAGACGTGGTATACAATTAGTCATTTTCCCATTGTACATGCTGATAGTTTACCGCAATAAAGAATTTATCTGTAAAATGTCGTTCCAAAGGTTTTTGCTCGTAGGGTTTGTTCGTAGTAATTATAAAACATGCAGCCCACCGGTAACATTCATGAATGCAACTTGAGAAGTCATAAAGGTCACTAATTTCTCAAAATTTCATTGTTTTAAAATATTTATTGCATGGTAAATTTTCAAATGATCTCAAGGTACCAAAATATTAAATGAAGCCATTTCCCGCAAGACAAAAGGACGACTTCGCTACACTCGCTGGAAACCATTCTTTGGCCATACTTAAAATTAAAACTACGTGTTATTAGGTTATATTTAATACATGCAGGGTGAATGGTAAATACGACTAGAACTGGTTTTCCTCACATACCACTTCTAATGGACATCCTTGTTGATACGAACCATGTCCCAGACTGGTTAAGAAACACCACCCGTGAGGCTGACAAACATATTCACCCAAGATGTATTACGTTTTTTGTGTTATAAGGGCAGTGGGGTAGCCTAATGGTCAAAGCATCACGCCACGCCGAAGACCAGGGTTCGATTTCCCACATAGGTACCATGTGTACCATGTGTGAAGCCCATTTCTGGTGTCCCCGCCGTAATATTGCTAGAATATTGCTAAAAGCGGCCTAAAACCATACTCAATCATTGTTGTGTTATAGTTCTACATGCATAACTATAAACGAGTACCTGTCAGATACCGTGGCCACTACGAGTGTATTTCAAAACATACATAATAGGTATTTGTATAGGCTGACATTTGATATAATAAAACAACACAGAGTACCAAATATTCATGATACGGGGTGCGGCTGTATGGGTATTTATCAGTGATATCGACAAAGGGTGTAATGAAAAAGATACTTCCACTTAGCTGATATTTCTTCTCTTTCAGGAATCCTCGCTTGTCATGGCAGCAGAAAACGCCATCTATTGTATCATGACGTCATGGCATAGAAGAGTGAAGTCATGACTCACAGCTGTGCTGAAACAAATATTGAAGACACTGGGGCTCCTTTCACGAAGCAACCTTTACTAAGGTTAACCTTAACTCCCATTCTTAAACATTGCACTAAGGCTACCTTAGTGACTTACGATCACCTTAGTGCTTCGTGAAAGGAGGCCCTGTAAGGTCGGTACATCCGAACATCCAAACTGAAAGTTATTCTACTGATTGTTGCCAGGGGCGGATACAGCTGTTTGAGAAAGTGGGGGTGCACACTTAATTTTCACGAGAGTTCCAATGGTCATTTAATAAACTTTCATGTTCGCATGTTACTTCAAAAAATTCATTTCCGACTGGTGTAAAATGTTTAAATAAACATTTCTGTATCCCCCACCGTGATATTGCATAAAAGCAGCGTAAAACAATTCAATCGCTCACTCTTACATTATGCCACTTCCTTTTTTGCTACCATTCAACTGGTACACTTATACAATATTACACTGACTGTTATTGTGAAATTTATTGGAATGATCAATGGAGACTATCAAATCGTAAGTGAGTGAGTTTAGTTTGGCGCCGCTTTTAGCAATATACCAGCATTATCACGTCGGGGGACACCAGAAATTGGCTTCACACATTGTAGCCATGTGGGGAATCGAACCCGGGTCTTCAGCGTTACGAGCGAACGCTTTAACCACTAGGCTACCCTACCGCCCTTCACACCAAGAGAATATGGCGAGGCAAATACAGAGGATTGAGATATAGATTATTAACATTTTTTCCGTATACTTATTGTCGATCAAGACATATACCTTAACTTTAACAATAAACATCGTCCTTCCAGTGACACATTTTTGGGAGGCGTTCATATGTGGCTATATTCTTGCTTTTACAGTTATTGTCATTATTATTTTGTTATGATGGCTGTTTCTTCTTGTCGTGCGCACTCGTGATTCGGTTGTAGAGCTCTAGCGTCTACCCCCAGCGTACCCTACCTCTCACAAGTTCCTTCAAGTTGAATGAGAACATAAATGAAAATTAATCAAAACTGAAATGTGGTCTATTACAGAAAATACTGTTGTTAACCGGGCATAAATGTTCCTCTTGGTGTCAATCACTGGATTGTCTGGTCCATCTCGATTATTTACTGACATCCGCGTTTATCTGGGACATTGCGGCGGTAACAACAAACGAGCAAAACAAACACATGTCATAAATGTGCATAGTGAATTCTATTCATCATATTCCTCCAAGAAAACAGTTTCAGTAGCGAGTACATATATCAAAGGGAGATAACCGCTAACTGGTCGGAAATCTCTAACGGGGCCATTATAGCATAACCTTGATCAGTCATTGTCGCAACCATCGATCAATATCTCGATGAGTGCGTCCGATTTACCATAGCAACCAGGCGACTCAATGATCATTGTCAGCATTGTGATGTGGTGATCGCTGGTAAAGTAGACATCAAACAGATCAAAAGATTCCAAAAGATCCGCTGACTCTTGAATTGACATGGTCAAGAAACAGCCTGGCACCACTGATGAATGGAGGTGAAACACAGGTGTCGAGTTCCTGCTAGTTCCATTGATCAGATGATTGGCATGTACTAGGAATATTTCCCTAGGTGATGCCGTCTGCGTGTTTAAGTGATGAATGCTCTTT